GACGGCCCCGGTACATCCCAGTGGCGCCCGGGACGGCCCCGGTACATCCCGGTGGCGCCCGGGACGGCCCCGGTACATCCCAGTGGCGCCCGGGACGGCCCCGGTACATCCCGGTGGCGCCCGGGACGGCCCCGGTGCATCCCGGTAGTGGCCGGTACCACGCGGGTATCGCCCGGTAGAGCCCCGGTAGTGCCTGGAACAGCCCCAGGACGGCGCGTTTCGGCCCGGTACTGCCCCAGTACAGCCCGGTAGAGCCCCGTCTGCGCCCGGTCCGGCCCGCTAGAGCCCATTACAGCCGGTTCCGCCCGGTACCGCCCCGGTCCATCCCGGTAGTGCCCGAAACAGCCCAGTACAGACCAGCACGGCCCCGCACCGCCCCGGCTCAGCCCGGTAACGCCCCGGGACCCCCGGTCCGACCCCCCGGGGCTCCCCGCTCGGTCCGTACCTGGTCCGGGCTCTCCCGGTCCGGCCCCGCCCGTGACGTCACGGTCCGTTGGGGAGGGTGAGGGGGGGACACCGAGCACGTGCCGCCGGGACCGGGGCCGGGACCGTCCCGAGGACCCCCAAAAGAGGGGCCGGGGGTCCCAAGCCGGGGGAGGCCGTGGGGGGGTCCCCACCCCGGGAATGCCCATCCGGGGGGATGCCCGAGGGAGGGGGGGAGGGGTCTCATCCCCGGGGTCCCAATCCTGGGCATTCCGCGGGGGTGGCACATCTTCATCCCGCGGCTGTCGGGTGGGGGGGCTCAGTGCTGGGGGTCTCCATCCCAGGAATTCCCGGGGGGAAGAGGCTCCATCCCGGGGGTCCCTGGGGTGACGGGGGGGGGATGTTCCCCATCCCGGGGGTCCCAGTCCTGGGAATTCTCATGTGTGTGCGTGTCTCCATCCCGGGGGGTGCCCGGTGATGGGGGGGGTCTATCCCGGGGGTCTACATCCCGGGAATTCCCGGTTGTGGAGGGAAGGGAGGTGTCTCTCCATCCCAGTGGTGTCCGGGGTGTTCCCCAACTCGGGGGTCCCCATAGAGGGGGGGGTCTCTCCCATCCTGGGGGGGTCTCCACTCCCAGAGTGGGGGGGAAGTGGAGCACCAGGAGGGGCGCGGCCCCTTTAAAAGCAACATGGCGTCTCTGAGGCCACGCCCTCTTTTAACCACGCCCCGTCTCTCAAACGCCACGCCCCCTCATTGAACGCCACGGTAGCCGCGCCCCTTAAAGTGACCACGCCCCGCGACCGACAGACCGCGCCCCTTCACGGACCACGCCCCCTATATCTTCCAGGCTCGCGGTGGCCACGCCCCCTCTGTGATCACGCCCAATGACGTCCATGTATGGTCATTGAACACGCCCCCTCTCGATGACCACGCCCCTTAGCCGCCGCGGGCTCGCCCGTGGCGTCACTTCCGGGGCGGGGCCGAGACGCGCGCGCAAAGATGGCGACGCCCTATGTGACGGACGAGACCGGTGAGCGCGGGGGGGCCGCGGGGGCAAGGGGGACTCCGGGACCCCCCCGGAGCCGCCCCGGGCACGGCCCCGCCCGGGACGGACCCCCCCCGGCGCCGGGGCTGCGCCCGCCGCCGATCCCCGCGGGGGCCCCGGCGCTGGGGGAGGCCCGTGGGGGGCGCGGGGCCTGGGGGGGGGTCCTGGGAACGCGTGGGGGGTTCTGGGGACATGTGGGGGGGGCAGAGGGCTGCGGGACACGGTTTTGGGGATCTTGTGGGGTCCGTGGGGGGGTCCCAGAGCCGCTTTGGGGATTTCCCGGGACCTGGGGGGGGGGGTCCTGGAGCACATTGCCGGGGGGGCGGGGGTCTCTGGGGTCCCCTTGGGGTCCCGGGGGTGTCCCGGGAGCTAGGGGGGGGTCTTGAGCTCTCTGGAGGGGGGGTCCTGGGGCTCCCCTGGGTTCAGTGGGGTGTCCCAGACCCTCTTGGGGGTGGCCCAGCCTCCTTTGGGGTCTGTGCGGGGGTGTCCCAGAGCCTCTGTGGGGTCTCCTGGGACTGCCGTGGGGTCTGTGGAGGGTCGCAGGACCTCCCTGGAGGTGTCCTGGGGTCCCCGTGGGGGTGTCTTGAGGCTGCTGTGGGTGTTCCTGGACGCCCCTGGGATCCGAGGTGCCCCCATGCCCCCCTGTGCCCCCCAGGGAGGTACATCCCCTCCACGCAGCGGCCGGATGGGACGTGGCGGAAGCAGCGGCGGGTGAAGGAGGGCTACGTTCCCCAGGAGGAGGTGCCCGTGTGAGTGGGAGGGTCCCCGGGCTGGGGGGAGCTCTTGGGGCCGTGTCCCCTCTCCCAGGGCTGAGTTTGTGCCCCGCTGGGTCCCACCCAGGGCTTCACATGTGGGTGAGTCCCACCCCAGGGGCTGCATACGCCCTCCCAGATCCTCATGGACCTCCCCCAGATCCTCATGGACCCCTCCTGGATCCCCCCATCCCCTCACAGACCCTTCTGGAGCCCCACGGCCCCTCACAGATCCCTCATTGATCCCTTATGGACCCTCACAGGTCTCTCAAGAATCCCCCACAGCTCCTCCTGGACCCCCAGGAATCCCTCACAGATCCCTCCTGGACCCTCCCAGATCCCTCCTGGGCCCCTCCTGGATTCCCCACAGCCCCCTCGTGTCCCCCCACAGCCCCTCACTGATCCCTCCTGGACCCTCACAGACCCTCGTAATCCCCCCGGGATCCCCCACAGACCCCTCCTGGGCCACTCACAGAACGTTCCCCCAGGGGTCCCTCCCGGATCCCTCCTGGCCCCCCCCACACCCCCTCACCCCGTCCCTCCGCCCGCAGGTACGAGAACAAATACGTGAAGTTTTTCCGGAGCAAACCGGAGCTGCCGCCGGGGCTGAGCCCGGACACGGCCCCGGCGCGGCCCCCGGGACCCCCCCAGGGCCCCCCCCCCGAGCAGGGGCTGTCCAAGGCCGCCCGCAGGAACCTCAAGCGCAAGGAGAAGCGGCGGCAGCAGCAGGAAAAGGCCCCGGAGCGGCCGCAGGACACGGACGGACTGAGCCCGGCGCTGGAAAAGCTGTCGCTGTCGGGGCCCGGCGGGACAGGAGGGGCCCCCCCGGCCCAGGGGGGCGACGGCGCCGGGAATTCCGAGCGCAGCCGCCGCATCAAGAGCCTGCGGAAGAAGCTGCGGCAGGTGGAGGAGCTGCAGCGGCGCCTCGAGGCCGGGGGGCTCCCCCAGCCCACCCAGGAGCAGCTGGAGAAGCTGGGCCGGAGGAAAGCGCTGGAGGACGAACTCAGGGGGCTCGAGTCGGACTCGTAGGGG